TTTTGTCAAAAGCTAAAAGCTAGAAGCTCTCAAACGCTTCCAAAAACTCTGTGTCAAACACGCCCTAAGTTGTTCATCAGGTTTTTTCCCTTGATTGCAAATTTGCAACGAACTTGTATAGCTTTGAATTTTTAACAGGCCATCGTCCCTTTGGAAGCTATTTTCTTTTGGATTATATGACAACCGAATTGCTTATTAATACATGGAATAAATGGTAGTGGTAACGGGGAGTCTTAGTTACATGTTTCAAATCTAGAAAATTACTGTTGTGATGGTCGAAAATGATTGTGGTGGAGGGTGACTAAAAAGGGAAAGGAGGGGTGGGGTTGGAATGAGATGAGATGGGTATGTTGGGGATTTTATAATTTAATAAATAAGTAAAAAAAGGTAAACAAAAAGTCATTTTAATAATTATACAATAAATTAAGGGTGCTATTATACTTTTCCCGTCTCATTCGGTTAAATTATGAAATCATGGAGGTGCACACTATTCTACTCACAAAACGTCTCATTCGGTTAAATTGTGAAGTCATGAATGTGCACACCATTCTACTCACAAAACGAGGTATACGAAGCATTTGGGGATGAGTACGTATAGAATTACCCAAAATTAAAACCAAAATACTAAACTTTTGATTTTCTAAAAACCACATTGACCATTTATATAATTTAATCTTAAAAATATGACTAATTTACATCATTGGTCCCTCTAGTTTACAAAAAATCACAAGTTTAGTATGTATTTCTTTTTTGACATAAATTGACTTTGTGTTTCAAAAACTTTTTTTTCTTCAGTTTAGCTTACATCTCTCTCTCTCTCTCTCTCTCTCTCTCTCTCTCTCTCTCTCTCTCGTAAAATATTAATTCAATCTTACCTTCTTCCTCAACTATTTTTTACTCCAACTCCCCTCCCCTAGAAATTACAATCAATACAATGATGATTTGTTCCTATGGAAGCCTAAAGTTGGTCGTGATATCTTGGACGAATCTCAAACTATGTATGATGTCATTGCCTTGTGTCATATTGTAACGTACACGTTTTGAAATCGTGTTTTGTAAATTTTAAAAGTGAATAATATTATGAAATATTATATAATTATGAGTATTGAGTTCTAACAAATAGTTTTTTTACTAGAAATGAAGTAAAACTATGTTTAGAATCACTCGGGAAATATTGGAAGTTTTATGAGATTCCAATCAAAAGGCAAATATTGAAATTTAACGAAAATATAAAATTTAAAATAAGTAGAATTTTATTATTGAAAGTTGTAAAGAATCTCGTTAGAAACATTTAGGCAAAAACCTCATCGAAATCCGAGTTATAACGAAGAAGTTATGACCAATCGAAGATCCGCGACAAAACCGGCACGACGCCGAATGACGTAAAAAAGTGAGTTTTGATAAACTACTTTTTAGCCTTGGTGATCTAAATGAAAGTCGTAGTAATTGTTAAACCGAGAATTTTCATAAAAAGAACGTCCGTTTTCATAACTTCTTCGGTCCGAAGCCTCCCCTATATAAAGGGAGGTGCGAAATTTCCCGGTTTTGGTTAGATATTCTTATACTTTTCACTCCTAAACCTTCTTTTAAGCTACTTAGCATCCCCCGAAGCCCCGGGATCATTCCCAACACCCGAAACACGCCCCGAAGTGCCCGAGAAATTTATCTTTTCGGTTTGAAGCTCAACCTTCGCAAGACCCGATTTTCAAGAAAGCTCCCAGTTTTCAACGAAGAAAGTTATTTATCATAACGAAGTGCTGCACAAATTACTATTTTAACCCCTGGTTAATTCACGGTGAGTTCAATATATAGGAACAATTGTATGTTATGTGTTATATGTGCTATGTGCTTTTCCGTTGTTATTATTTCTGCTATTTATGATAGCAAAGTTATACCTTTGACCATGTGATCAGTGAAAGGACTTAGACTCACGGTGGTACTGGTATGTAGCCTTTAGCCATGTACAATATGTCTTGTAAGAGAATGACTTCAATTCTATGGCATTGGCAGAAGGTTAGACAGGGCTGAAAGCCTGAAATCTACCAAAATGTTTAATCAGAAAATGTATGTCTTCTGTGCCATTTGGGCCGAAGCTTTATTGATGTATATCAAGTATGGAAATTGTTATGTCTCATTGATTGTATATCTTTGAATCAAATCATTGATTAATATGGAAAACTTGTCACATGATTCACATATGCCTTTGTTGTTCCTTGTTCCTCTTTGCTTCTGCCATATTGAAGT